GGTTCCTGCCTGGTCACACTATGTGCCCTGATGAGGGGCCCCACCCTGCCAGACATGCATTCTACCCAGTACGGCAGACATGGCCCTGGATCCAGAATGCAGCCCCAAGCATGTCTGCTTCCCAATACACACAGCATTGCAGGACAATCCAGAACCCAAGAGACTGATTTGGTGGGGACCTTACTGTCGCCCCTTCACAGACCAGGCCTGATGCGGCTTTTCCAGCCCCCAGCCCCACCCCCACCATACTGAACCCAAGGATGATGCCATCACTCCTGTCCAAAGGCCTCAGCCTATCACCACCCACTACCTGTTCAGTCTCTCACAGGCACAGGGATAAGGTAGCCACCTTCTCCCCACACCCTTTTTCCCTTTTGTGTCCTTCTTAGGACACCCCACAGGGACAAAACACACCCAAAAGTGGGAACGCTTCCTGCTGGGCACATCTAATACATATGGGAGCACATGCCCGACAACACACAACCTCATAGTCCCAAGCCCACACTGGGGCTCTGTGTCCACCCTGTCATGTCCTATCTGCCTGGACTCCACACCTCGTATGTCAGAAACTTCTCTGAAAGTCTGCTCCGAGTTCAGAGCACGTGGGAACACCTCATTTCCCACTTTAAGTTCTGAACACACCACGAATATGCGCCCCATGTCCCACTGCACTCCTGGGCACCCAGTGCAGCACTGAAGGCAACCTGGCCAAAGACCTGAGGCGTCCTCGTGCAGACTCAAGAGTAAAAACACACCCCCCAGGGGCGCTTGGGTGGCTCAGTGGATTAAAGCTTCTGCCTTCGGCTCAGGTCATGATCTCAGGGTCCTGGGATCAAGTCCCGCATCAGGCGCTCTGCTCAGCAGGGAGCCTGCTTCCCCCTCTCTCTCTGCCTGCCTCTCTGCCTACTTGTGATCTCTGTCAAATAAATTTAAAAAAAAAAAAAAAAAGAAAAGAAACACACCCCCCAGAAGCCACCTACTGTAGTGGTTGGCGCATATCTTCAGGGTCTTGTCCCTCCTCATGAGGAGGCGGATGGTCCCTTTTTCCTTATGCTTCAGAAGCTTAACGTCACCAGTGCCTCGTTCCTTCCACTCTGGGAGATCGTTCTCTGAAGCGAATCGGAATAGCTTTGCCCGCCTTCAAGAAAAGCCATTGAGAGAGAACTTAGATGAGCAAAGAGAGAAGTAAGTAGTGAAACACTGACTTGGAAAGAACACTGGTTTTCTGTGCACTGAACAAATGGCTGTATCTGGCACCTCCAGAGACGCCCTTTGCTTTCTTTGACCTTCTAGGACTATTGGTCAAAAAATTACCAAAAGAGCAAGACAATAACAAATTTCAAGTTTTTACTTAGAATAATGAAATGAGAAAGAAAAAACGACTTCCAACATAAAGACCCAACTTCTCAGCAAACATACCTCCCGAGTACACCAAGCTAGCCTGTGATCACAGTGCCAGGGAGCCCCTGGGGTCCCATAGGGCCACAGGGATAACATGGAAGCAGGTGAGATCAAGGACCCCTGCCCTCCAAAGGGCCAGCCCTTCCCTCTGCTGTGAGATGCCCCCTTTGGTTCCCTGGCCCCCCAACCCAGAGAGAGGGCTGCAGACCTCCGCTCAGGCTGCCAGGCTCTGGCCAACACCCTGCCTTCCTGCCCAGAATAGCACCTCATACTGGGCCCAGCCAAGGCCCCCACCCAGCCAGGCACTGAAGCCCACATGATGAACCCAGCAGTCCTGCCTTTAGGGCTTTAGGCTGAAGCCCTCCATTCCCTTTCCCCACCCAACCCAAGCAGTGTTGGTCCATTTCCTGCATAACACTCTGTTCTCTCCCCCAAGCTAAGGGAAACAGTGCCCTCACAAGGATGCCACCAGAGCTTTCACCTGGAGCTCAAGGCCCCAGACGAAAAGGCCTGACCTGTTGGCCTTGCTTCCCTCAGGAAGGTACTGTGCCCAGGGCCGCCAGGAGCAGTTCTTAGCCCTTTGTGGGCGCACATTTGTGTGACAGCAACAGCACCAGCAGCAGTCCCCAGTTCTGGGAGAAACCAGTCCCTGGCTATCGCACCATTTCTGGGCAAAGCAGTGATGTGAAGAACCAGTGTCTTCAGGGACACACCCACCACTCTCTGAGACCAAAGGGGTATATGTGACTCTCCCTCCCCAGACCTTTGGGGGTGGTGGGAAGGGGTTCGTCTCCCCAGTCGGCCTTTCTTGGAGGGGTCACTGTCCCTGCCCTCCACTCACACCCTCATCTGGCTTCTTCAATAGAATCTGAAGTTGGGGGGGGGGGGCAGTGAGGGAACTCCATAGCTTAGATAGGAAAAACACTCCAGCCTATTTCCATTAGCTTGTAAGGGAGCCTAGTGTTTCCTGTGATTCTGAGTCTCAGCAGTGCTGATTTTGTCACAAACATCTCAACACATGGCTGGTTCCAGTGCTACTTAAAAATGTCCCTTGCCATTGGAGCTTCTCAATGAAGGTGCCAAAAAACATGTGGAGAGTAATTTTTAGAAAGTAATCTTGGTAGGCCTAACACTATCCACTTTCACTTATAATTCCAGGTGTTACTCTGTGTGTTAAAAACACTGAAATGGGAATTCCCAAACTTCAAGATGCCAGAATCTATCATGCAAAAGAAAAAAATAATAATAATAATAATAATAATAATGGCAGACTCCCTGTTCAACCAGAGGAAGGGTGCTGAGGGAGTCTTAGAAGTAACAAGCCTGGAAGGTGGCAAGGACAGGGGGCTGGTGAGATGCACCTTTGTGGACAGAGCAGCAGGGACAGGACACCAGGGAGCACCTGTGCTCTCCACAGCACTGGCCACCAGAAGAAGGGGCACCCAGTGAAGAGTTATCCAACCAATGTATTCTAACAGCCGCCCTGATTTCCACATTAGCCATCACACAATTCCAAGCCCTTTCTTCAAGCCTCGGTCCAAATGAAAGTCAGGCCAAGACCCTGAAACCCATAAAAACCATAACTTCAATCTCACACTAAAGATTCCTATGTCTGGAGCAACATGAGCTTACTTACATTTTAAAAAGCTCTTCTTCATCTTCTTCCAGCGTTTTAATTTCTTGCTCAGGAAGAGAAACTATAGGCTCAAACTGGGGGTCGTGGTTGGACTCGTCGGCATTCTCAGTGGAGGTATCATGGTCCTCATGGGTGTCCTGTGGATTGAGGTGCAGAGAGGTGACTCTGCTGGCCCTGGAGCCTGGCCCCACACAGAGGTCAGCAGTACCCACAGTGGGCAATCTCTCCTAGTGATCTGCCTCATCCCAAAGCAACAGATTATGCCCACAATCTTTCACAAAAAGAGAGGTCTGCACCCACATTGAGAGTGCAGTAAGATGCTGAACGTCAGCACCCTCCCCAGATGCATCAATCCCATGTGTGGACAGCGGGATGGAGGTCCCTAAAGTTGGGCCCCCTACTGGCCAAAGACACTGTCTCACCACTTTCCATCTCCGTTTCCTCACCTGGAAAATGTGAATAATGACAGTGCTAAGTGAAGATTAAAAGACACAATGAGGGAGCAAACCCTAAAGAAGAGTGCCACTCTTTAAGCAAATAGTATAACCCTTTGAATTTTTACTGGTTGGGGGGGAAAAAAAATCAGTGCTGTTGTTACTGAACAGGGCAAAAAAGTTACTACCCAACTGTTAGTATTTACATGGAATTCACAGTCCTGTCATCAATTTTATCTTACATCAGGAAGTTGATACCTCGACAGAAATCACACAAACGAGAGCAGTAAGATCCTGATCCAGTTTAGAAAACTACAGAGCACAAAGGATCATAATTTAGGTTAAGTCTTACAAAACACGTGGTTTGGTGATCTGTAGTCCATAAAAAGCTGGGAGATTTTGCTACCAAACTCGAGCCAAAAAAGAACAAATGTAAGGCTTCGTTGTTTTCCTTGGTTGAACAGCAACTGCGGCTCCGCCGAGGGCAGCTCAACCCGAGTAGATGCCCGCAGTCAACAAAGCGGCCCCCACCCTGGGTCGGTGAGGCCACGACCCGACCACCAGGCTGGAACGCGAGCTTTCGCGACAGAGGCCTGTCGCGGTTCAAGACGGGAGAACAGAATGAATGAAGTGCTGCGTAGGCGACGGCAGGAAGGGACGCACGGTTTTGGTGGGAAGCCTGCAAGTGGGCCGAGCCGGAGGAAACCGGCCATCGGCCCCTCATCTCAATCGAGCAGCGAAGTACACTAGAGACCAAGTAGCCGGGTGGTGGGCCTCCCCACGCCCCGATGGGGCTCCCGGCCCCACCTGGGACCGCCCCAAGGTCACGCGGCCGCCCCACAGCCCCCGAACACGCGCACCCCAGGCATCGCGAGCCCTGGCCCCGAAGGCCCCAGGTCGCGCTCCCCAAAGCTCCAACCACGCGCCACTGAGGCCCGCAGGCACCGAGCCCTCAAGCCAGCGGGGGTTGGCGGTGGCGGCGGCGCGGGCCGCCCACGTGGCCGCCAATAGCGGCCTCGGCCTCCAGGCCCCCACCCAGTCCCCGTCCGGGCCCGGCCCCGCACCTTGGCGGCCGCCATGGGGGCGCGGCGGCGGCGGCGGCTCGGCTGGCTCGGTCGTCGCTGGCTCCGCGGCCTCTCGGCGGCTGGTTGTAGCTCCTTTCCTCCGCGTCTGGCGCCGGCGCCTCCCGCCCTCCCGCTCTTCCCTCCGCCCCGCGACCCGAACCCCGACCCCTGACCCCGGCGGCGGGAAACGCGACGCGATTCAAAACCAGTGCAGCTTTATTGGCTCACACTGCGGACACTCTCATTGTCCAGCCCGCCCCGCGCTTCCCGCCAAAACGCCCGCGGCGCATGCCCGGCCCGCCCGGCAGCCAGAAGAGCGTGCACTCCCGGCGGCCCTAGCGCGCACTTCCGCCCCGCGGCGGCGCACACCCCTGGAGCTCACCAAGGGGCAGGGAAATCGAGGCTGGCGCGTGGCGATGACGTCACCGGAAGCCAGGATGATAGAGACGCGCGGCCTCGGCTGCACGCGTTGGCTGACGGGAGAGTAGCCAGCAAGGCGAGCGGCCGGCGCGGGCCCCTGGCGGGCGGGCGGCGTACCCCATACCCAAGACCCGAACGTGAGCACCGAGGGTTCGAGTCCCACCCCCGCCCGGGGCGGAGCCGGCGAGGGGCCTCGCGGCGTTGCAGCCGCAGCTCTGAGCGCCCGCTTCCTTTGCCGGGCCCAGGACCGGGCAGCGGAGGTGGCCCTCGCGAAGGACCCCAGTCTGGGCAGCGGACCGACCGGACGATGAGTGACAAGCTCGACAACGAAGTAAAGTGAAGGGAGATGCTGATGGGAGACGGAGGAAGAGATGGAGGAGAACGGGGTGTGGGGGGAGATGGAGATGGAGGCGGGATAGGAAACCGCTGGGAGAAAACGGGACAGGGGGTAAGTTGGGAGAGGGGAAAACGGAACGCGGGTAAGGCTGGGTGTAGATGCAGTAGTGGAGGTCGGGGTGTGGGACAAGGGGCCCTGGGACGTTCAGGTTCTAGGGTCCAGCCCTCAGCCCAGTCCTTGCCTGTCTCCACACAGGGCCCTGTGCCCATGGAGGGCTGCGGCCAAGACAGCAGCAGTGCCCAGGGTAGCTCTGCAGCAGTAGCCCCCCAGGAGGAAGACAAGGAGGAGGAAGTGGTTGCTGAGGCGGCTGTAGAGTCCGTGCCTCAGCCAGGGCTCTACAGCTACATCAGGGACGACCTGTTTACCTCTGAGATCTTCAAGTTGGAGCTGCAGAACGTTCCCCGCCACGCCAGCTTCAGTGATGTCCGACGCTTTCTGGGCCGCTTTGGCCTGCAGCCTCATAAGACCAAACTCTTTGGGCAACCTCCCTGCGCCTTTGTGACATTCCGCAGTGCTGCTGAGCGGGACAAGGCCTTGCGTGTGCTGCATGGTGCCCTCTGGAAGGGCCGCCCACTGAGCGTGCGCCTGGCCAGGCCCAAGGCTGATCCTATGGCTAGGAAGAGGCGGCGTGAGGATGAGGGTGAGCCAGCAGCCACATGTATCGCAGATGTAGTGACACCTCTTTGGACCGTGCCCTATGCTGAACAGCTGGAGCGGAAGCAGCTGGAGTGTGAGCAGGTGCTACAGAAGCTCGCCAAGTGAGTGTGGGTGCAGAGCAGCCCCTTGGCCCCAGAGCTCTGCTCTGCTCTGTGCTTGTTCCGCCCATCCTGTGCCTTGTACAGACATCCTCAGGGCCTGCACGGTCGCTTGGGTAGTTAGCTGGTAAAACCCATGTATAATCAGTGTGGATAGTTGGGTCATGAGGGAGGGGCCAGGTACCTGGGCATTTAGAGAATGGCTGGGGATGGCTGCAGGGGAAGCGGACTGAGTCCAACCTTGGCCCCAACTCATCCTGCAGGGAAATTGGGAGCACCAACCGCGCCCTGCTGCCCTGGCTACTCTCACAGAGGCACAAGCACAACAAGGCCTGCTGCCCGCTGGAGGGGGTTAGGCCATCACCCCAGCAGGTCAGGTCCGGCTGGTGTGGCCAGAAACTCATCTCATGTTCTTAAAGGAGCTCTTCTCACCTATTTCTGCCATCCCTCTTCTGCTTTGCATTTGCTGTTGGTATTCATGGTGTGACCGTTACTTGTTGTCAGCCCCATCCCTTGGATGGCCAGGGTAAGGGCAGACATGTCTCTCTGCCTCCCTGCAGACCGAGTATCGTAATAAGTGTGAGTTTCTGGTCGGCGTTGGGGTGGACGGGGAAGACAACACAGTCGGCTGTCGGCTTGGCAAGTACAAGGGCGGGACATGTGCTGTGGCTGCCCCCTTTGACACCGTGCACATCCCTGGGGCCACCAAGCAGGTGGTGAAGGCCTTCCAGGAGTTCATCCGGTGAGGGCTTATGGCTGGGCTGTGGGCCCCAAGAAGTTCCGAGGTGGTAACTCTCTCTCTGGGAGCAGAGAGTCTGCCTGAGGGGATTCTGGGATTGTGATCTGGCGGGTGTGGCTGGAAGAGAGAGCAGGGATGCTCGCCCAGTCCTGGTTGGCAGATGTTGGGGGACTCAGGGCCATTCATGGCTCCCACAGGTCCACTCCATACTCCGCGTACAACCCAGAGACGTATTCAGGCCACTGGAAGCAGTTGACTGTGCGCACCAGCCGCCGTGGCCAAGCCATGGCCATTGTCTACTTCCACCCCCAGGTCTCAGGCGGGGTGGCCCTCCTGGGGGAGGATGTCTGGGCCACAGTGAGCTGTGGCGCAGCCTTACAAGGCCTTTTCTGCTGCTTACCCAGAAACTGGGCCCTGAGGAACTGGCCGGGCTGAAGACCTCCTTGGCGCAGCACTTCATGGCGGGGCCAGGCAAGGCCACTGGGGTGACCTGCCTCTACTTTGTAGAGGAGGGACAGCGGTGAGGAGCTTGGGTAGGGGTGGGGCGGGTCCCTGCAAGGGCTGGTGACACTGACAGACGTAACCCTACCACCCACAGAAAGACTCCCAGCCAGGAGGGCCTGCCCCTGGAGCATGTGGCTGGAGACCGGTGCATCCATGAGGACCTGCTTGGGTTGACTTTCAGGATCTCTCCTCACGCCTTCTTCCAGGTAGCCCTGAGTTCCTGGGGATCATGAGGATACATGGAGGGGGGCTTGACATGATGTCAGGGGAGCCTGGGGAGAACATCCAGGCAGGAGAGCCACAAGCGTTGTACGGTAGAAAAATCATTTCCTATTAGATTCTCTGATCACCTTTTGGGAGGGTCATATGTAGAGGCAGGAACAGGAGTTGGGGTGACGCCAGGGCTCTGGTGTGAGCTCTGGCACTCAGAAAAGAGGTGAAGGGTGGGTTTTCACCATCAAGTTACTCTTTAAAGCAAGGAGATCTGGCGGAATTGCTAGGCATGATGGGATTGAGGGTCATTCTGAGGACTGGGCCTCTGGCACTCAGACGGCTAGATGGTGAGGGGCGGCGGGTATCTGGAGACCTGCGAAGAGGGTGAGTGACCCAAGGATGGGGCCATGGAGGCCCCCAGGCAGGAAGAATGCCCAGGGAATGCAAGTGCTTGGGGGTGAGGAGGGATGTGCAGGAGAGAGGCCAGTGTGGGCAGCGAGACTCTGCCGGCCCATTCTCCAGGTGAACACTCTGGCAGCTGAGGTGCTCTACACAGTCATCCGAGACTGGGCCCAGCTGGACACAGAGAGCACAGTGCTGGACGTATGCTGCGGCACAGGCACCATCGGCCTGGCTTTGGCCCCAGTGAGCTCTCCTTCCCCACCCCACCCATGTTGTCACCCGCCCCACCCCCAGCCTAGTCCAGATCCTCTTTCACTCCAACACCTCCGCCAGGTCTCTCCCTAAGGCGGTGGGGATGGGGCGGGGTGCCATGAGTCTGTCTTTTCCCGGCTTCAGAGAGTGAAGAGAGTCGTGGGGATTGAGCTGTGCCAGGAGGCCGTGGAAGATGCCCGCGTGAATGCCCAAGACAACGGTGAGAGCCAGTGGTTGATAGGGCCTGCGGTGGGGTGAGGGGCAGAGAGTTCAGTAGGCCACCTACTGCGTGGCATGAACAGGGTGCCCACAGTGCCAGAGCTGGATGAGGATAAGCTGGCTCCTTAGCCAGCAGGTCTTCCTGGGACACCTCTGGCCAGGGACTTAGACACCATGCAGACTCTACGGGGAGAGGGTGTTCTGGGTCCCCTGTGACAGGGCTGTGGTTTCATGTCCAGAGTTGAGCAATGTGGAGTTCCACTGTGGGAGAGCCGAGGACCTGGTGCCCACTTTGGTGAGCAGACTGGCCTCCCAGCAGCTCGTTGCCATCCTGGACCCGCCCCGTGCTGGCCTGCGTAAGTGGCCTCCATCTGGGAGGTGTCATGGGAAAGCGGGGGGGCAGGGGTGTCTAGCTGGCACACCACACGGCACAGCTTCAGGCCTGATGCCCATCCCATTTGAACCTCCTCAGATTCCAAAGTGATCCTGGCCATCCGAAGAGCTGAGAACCTCAAACGGCTCCTCTATGTCTCTTGCAACCCCCGGGCGGCCATGGGCAACTTCGTGGAGTGAGTGTGAAGTGGAGGGCCTGGGGTGGCCCCAGGACAGGGTGGACCAGGGACCCAGTGGACTCATGTGGCTGACCTTGACATTCCTTTCCTACTACAGCCTCTGCAGGGCTCCATCTAACCGGGTGAAGGGCACCCCCTTCCGGCCTGTCAAGGCTGTGGCTGTGGACCTGTTCCCGCAGACCCCACATTGTGAGATGCTCCTCCTATTTGAGAGGGTGGAGCACCCCAATGGCACAGGGGCCCTGGCACCCCAGGACCCTCCACCCCAGCCCCCACCAGGGCCCCCAGTGGACACCGTACAAGAAACAAGGGCTGCTGCCTCTTGCTAGGTCCCTGGAGAACTAGAACCTTGTCCTTTCAGAACAGGGGGTTCCCCAAGTCCTTGCCTCAGGATGCTCAGGCAGCATCTAGAAGGCACAAGACTTGGCTGTCCATCTGTCCCCATGGATCCTAGGCTCCCATAGCCTGTCCCCTACCACTCCTCCCCTTCTTTCCGGGTTAGCTGGGATATAATGCTAGAATAAAGAGTTTCTCAACTATTGATGTTACTGTGATGAAAACTCCTTAGCACACAGCATTCCCTTTTGCCCACCCATTGTAGGTGCCGGGGACAAGGTCAACAGGGCACCCTGAGCAGCCAGTCTGAGCCTCCATTCCTGCTAGCACTCTGTCAGCCCCTCTGCATGGTGGCAAGTCAGAGCAGAGTGTGCTGACAGCATCAGGTTTTATGCTTAATGCCAGGGAAGCAAACATCTCATGGCCCAGAGCCAGCTGTACACGTAAGGTAGAACACACTGCAAGGGGCAGCCTGTCTACGCAGGTAGGTCCTGTGGTCTGCCCGTTTTCCCTGTGCCTTGTGAGGTGAGGTGCCGTCCCCAGCCTAGCCCCGAAGGGAAACCATGGGAGCTGGGGCTGGGATTGGACGCTGCCCAGCTGCTGTAGGAACAGTGTGACCAGGCACAGACTAAAGGCGCTGTTTCTGGCAAGTTGAGGGTCCACAGCCTCACATGCTAAGAAGAAAGAAACACCAGTCATTCCCTTTTGGGACAGTTTTGCTTTATGTGTTCAGACAATCAAGGCTCACCCTTACAGCCATAGTTTAGCTGCCACCTAGAAGGTACACGACGGCCAGTGGCCAAGTGGAGGTGGCATCAGCACAGGCTCCCCCTGCCCTCCGCCCCCACAGCACGGCTGTGTGCACACAACACTCACACCCACACGGAGTGGGGGGAATACAAGAGGAAGGACATGGGGAGGCTGCAGCAAGGCTCACTGCCTCTAGTTAACACGTGTGCACAAAGCTTTGGTTCACAATGGCGCATCTGGCTGTTCTGAGGGCAAACAGTCATATAGTCAAATGAGGATTCACAGCTGCAGACAGGAAGCAAGACAGAAGCAAGTGTCTAATTACAGCAACTTGATTTGAAGGTTTTGTTTTATAAAGGTCAACAGAGAAGCCAACCTCCGTCACATAGGTGGTAAGGAAGGGATACACTGTGGGTGGCACGCAAAACCAACATTCTGTATTCCTGAAAACAAATGCCATCAACGCCAACCACGGGGGACAGGATGGAGAAGAGGCATGCCCGTGGAGAATGCAGCCCAGCAGTGGACCCCTACAGCCAACAGTGTACCCCTGAACAGGCCCTAGGAACAGGGAGTGGATGGCCACCACTACCTTGCACATGGGGACAACCCAGAGCCCCAAGCACACCCACATCCCCTGAGGCTCAGGGTAGGGACACACCTACCCGTTGCACCTGTCTGCAGGAGCCACCTGGAGAGCCACTAACTGCTGATCAAAGGAACAGGTGGCCGTGAGGCCTGGCTGCACAGGGCAGGTGCCTTTAAAATCCAGTGCAGCCACCGTCACAGGCAAGACCGCCGCCCTCCACATGCTTGTGCCAGCTCCAGGTAGGAGCGCCACTTTGTGAGCACAGATGGTCTACATGAATGGTCCTGGTTTCCTCTTCTAAAATCGTGCTAAAATGCTTAACTTGTTTATATCTGCTACGTGATTCCAAATCTATCTTCTACTCTCCCTGTAAAAGTTTCTTCCCAAATGCTAAAATATCATAAAAGCTTTAAAAATTGATGGGTGGACAGATGGACTTGACTGTGCAAAAATCTTTAGTAAAAAGTTGCCAGAGGCCAGTGAAGAGGGCCTCGGTGTCTAAGAAGGCGTGTTTTTAGGACATTAAGACTTACTCAGAAGAAATGAACCACACGCCAGCCCAGGGTAACAAGCCAGGCGGAGACCAGCAGACTGCATACTCCCACTGGCAACAGGTTTCAGGAGTGGAAAAGAATCACCTTGAGGGCTCGCCTGCAATCTCTGAAAAATAGCTGATTCTAAAATTGTGTTTATTTTAAGCCAAAAAGGTCTGAAATACTCCTTCCTATTATAACCTTTTCAGAGTAAAAGGGAAAACACAAGAGGCAGGAAAGGGGCGGGGGTGCCAGCACGCACCTTCTGACCAGACCCCTGCAGTGGCCTGTGAGAACAGAGTGCCACAGGACTCGGCCACCACTTTCTCAGTCTGTCACTTCTTGTCTGTGCACGTACTGACACTCATGAAAACCTTCATCAAACCAGTCTGCAGCAAGTCCCCAGAGGCAGAGGTCATTCACAGCTGTTGCCAAGCTCTTGGCTCTCACCCGGTGGGTAAGCGGAGTCCATCCTTGAACACATCCACTCAGACCTGTGGGCGGCCCCCAAGGAAGAGCTGCGTGGCCCAGCTGTCCCCTGCACCAGAGCCCCACCCCTCTGGCCCCGGCCTCAGATGCCTGGCCGCAGGGGAGGAACTCAAATCAGAGGCCCAAGGCTGCAGAGTGAGTGGCGGGTGGTCTCCCTGGCAGCAGAGCTGGCAGTCCCCGCGCCTGACCCTGCTGCCTCCCTCACACATCTACAGTGCACAGGGGCTCGCCACCAGGCTGGGCAGACGCCACAATAGACATCTTGGGCTTCTTCCGAGTCTCCTCCTGGAAGAACAACAAAGGTCAGGGATGCCAATGATGTGGGAACATGTCGCCAAGCCCAAGCTCAAGCAAGAGGCGCCCAAGGTAGGGAGCAATGTGGGGGGTGAGGACAGGGACAGTGAGCTCAGCACATTAGTGCCAGGTAGCCTCTAGCAGGAGGGCACCACTGCTCTGCCATACCAGGTGGAGGGAGGGGAGGCCTGAGAAGTGGGCCAGATGGGAGGCTGGCTGGTTCTCTGTGGATGCCGTCTCACGGCACTACGTGCTGGTGCTTCCCTGGGACTCAGAATACACCCAGAAGTGAAGGGCCAAGGAAGTTACAGCCACCAGGGACAGGCCACATGGGTGGGTCTCTTCCCTACTCCAACTTGAGGGCAGAGGTGAGGCATCTCCTGCACCAGAAAGGCGAAACAGCAGATACCCCATTCTCAGGGTTTTATACGGGCCCAGGCAAATACCACAGCTAAAAAAGGTCCTAGCTTAGAAGCCTGTCGAGCGGGTGGCTTGAGGAAGTTGACCAGCACCAAGCCTTGCCCAGGTCCACTTGCTCTGTGAACCATGCTCCTCTCTTCCAGAAATGCCAAGGGCCTGAGGTATAGGTCCATGATGTCCAGTCTGTCGCCCACTGGACCCTGAGTAAGGGAGGCCTGGCAGGTGCACTGTCCCTGCCTTCAAACAGCTGGTACTAAGTAGAAACACCCAGAAGCCAAGCCCTTCATAGCTGCAGGCCAGGGCTGAGAACTCTATGATATAACTAAAAAATGATGTGATTTGATGCAAGTGCCATGAATGCTGAAACAAAGAAAAAGAAAGGTACTCTGGAAGTGCTGCGGGCTCACTAGGAAGAGGGAGCACTACACTGGCATCAGGAGCCAGGGACGGGTTCCTGCAGGCTGACATCACCCCCACAGCAGCCCGCGTGACCCTGTTTCAGCCCTCCCCTCCTGAGTGCAAGGGGATGAGGGAGTCGAGGGGCCATGGCCGGGGTGCTGGCCGGGCCTCCTGCTCACCCTCTCCTCGGCCAGCCTCTTCATCTCTTCCTGCAGCTTGCTCAGGATGTGCAGGTTTGGCTTGTTCTTCTTGGCGTACTGCTGCAGCTCAATCACACTCTTGTCCGAGGTCTCCTGGGGGAGCACCTTGCTCTCAGGAGGGCCCTAGGCAGGCCTCAGCGACACATTGTGGCCAGCGGCCAGAGCTGCATGACCCCACCCCGGCTGCCCCACCCTCAACTGGCAGACTGACAAAGCCGCAGAGAACGAGACCAGTCCACGGCTGCCCCAGCTCACTTTCTGGCCATGCCACCCCTACTTCCACCTCACCCTCAGCAGGAAGAAGCTATGGACTCTTCCCTTCATAAGGCAAAAGCACCCTAACACGAAGCTGCCTCCAACTCCTGCCGTCGGCATGGAGCACTCGCCCTGCCCTGACCCTCATAACGTAACAGCCAGAGCACGGCCTCAGCCAGTAGCAATGGGCACGCTGCCAGATGGGACACACCCTGGCACTGGGAGCCCACCAGCCCCAGACACGGGGCTCTCTGCATGCCCTATGACTTTCAGCACAGGACCAAGCTGTCCTGAGGCCCTTCCTGCGTGAGGTGGCCATCTCTGAGAATGCCTGCTGCGCCTAGGAGTGTCAGACTCCACCTGTCCTCCGAAAGATGTCAGCTGGGGCTGTGCCCAGACCGGACCCTCGCCCTCCAAGCTTGGAAGGGTTTCCACTCATGGGCCAAAGCAGGCTTTCTCCCTCTCAATCTTAGTCCAGCCAAGATGCTGCACAAAAGGAAGGGACATAAAGGCACAAGTCAGCTTCATCTGCACTACATTTGAATTTTCTCAGCAACTCCTATCTTGAGGTTCCTCAAAGCACTCTAGGTGCCCAGTGTCACCTCCTTCACTCCATCTTGTCAAGTCCAAAATGAGGGCCTCTTCAGGGATACCACAATGACCACCTCTCCCCTTACTGGGGTGCCAATAACCTGAACTATTTCTGGAAACATTAGGGGAAAACTTAAAAACCACAAACACCTCCCCATATTTCCTTCCACCTCACAAAGCACACAAATCTAAGGGAATTGATTTAAATCTCAGCAACACAGCAAAACAGCCTAAACTAACCAGATGACACATTCATGCTGTTGAGTTAAAGGTAAACCGATATTTATAGCCAGGAAAAGCTGTCCTGCATCTCTTACTCTCTCAAGCTCCTAGAGGTCCTCAAATTAATCCAAGGGCTTCCAGCCCTGTGCAGCAGAGCAGACAACAGGGCTTAGCTGAGAAGCTTCCTCTCCACTTGGGCTGGCAGCACCCACCACCTGCACCTCCTGCTGGGCAGCCCTTCCCATACAGCCAGTGCCAGACCCAGGCTTCTCAGGGAGGGAGACACAGCAGAAATGACCTCCCATCCCCCAAGGTCAGAGACATGCCCAGTAGAGGGCCCAAGAGGCAGCACTGAACAAGAGCAGAGCTGCCCAACTTTGCCCCTGGGATAGCAGGACCCCAAACACGTGCTCCATGGTGGGGGCCTAGTTACCTGTTTGACCATCTTGCTGCTTTCGCGGCCATACATGCGAAGTAAAGACCCCCAGTTCTTGACATGTGGGTGCAGCAGCTGAAGGATTTTCTGAGAGGCCAATTGTTTCCCAACTCTCTTGTTCTTACCTGCGAGGAAGACGAAATGTGGAGAGGGAATCCCTAACACCTAGCTGTTAACATGGCCACCTCTCCTAAACAGGAGCACGCCTGCTGTGCCCCCAGCCCACCTGAGGGTATGTTCTAGAAGATGGGGTACAGATGTGTTCTAGCCCTGTACTGGAAACCAGGTCTCACAAAGCTGAGGCTAGGAGCCATCCCACCCCACTTTGCAGAAAAGCCCCCTTGGGGGCTTCATGAACTCAGCACAGGCATAACTGATGAGGCCTCCCTCCCACCACCCCCACACTTCCAGAGCAACAGACAAGCAACAATGGGTGTTGGCAGGCAGAGGGGAGGGGAGACTCCATCAGAAAGCCCAGAGAAGTTTCCAGAGGGTGCATGCACTTTGGAAGGGTTTCTATGCAGAGGGAAGGCAGGGCCAAGGAGCAGAGTGGTCTGGAAAACAGTGAGTGCCAGAAGCCATGTATGGCCAGGCAGAGCAAGGCTGCCCACGCTTCCCAGACAGGGGGGTCAGTGGTGCCAGCATTCCTCCTCTGCCCCAGCATTCCTCCTCTGCCCCGCCTGCCTGCTCCGGAAGGTAGTTCCATGAGGACAGGTGTCTGCTGGATCACGGGGACAGCTGGGTCTGTAAGTGATTCTGCAATTTTCCCAGGGACAACTGGTATGTTATCTTCCAATCTAACCAGCTCTGGTTTTTTGTTTATGATAGTCATACACAGTTTCCTTTTAAAATAATGTTTTAAAAAAGTGGTTACTCCAAAAACCAAATTTGGTAAGGAGTGCAGGTGATGCACACAAGACACCAGAACACGGGGACACAGAGTACGGCAAGCCAGGGGCTCTGTGACCATTCAGGAAACCCCTCCTCCTGCCACAGGGACCACACGGTCTAACCCAAACGACCAGCCCAATCCCAGGAAACCGGAGGACAGGGATGGTGTGGGCAGGACTCCCACAGCCCTGCCTTAGGGTGGCTGGCTTTCAGAGGCTGAGAGGAGAGGCCAGTGGACACAGCACAGGTGGTCAGCACCCAAGGCAGGAGCTCAGGAAAGATGCCAGAGCAGTGGCCAGAGACCCAGCCACAGAGGCTCAGGGCTGCCAGAGAGGCCACAGGGCAGGGTGTGTCCTCCCCAGCAGTCACAGGAAATTGTGACAGGGCAGTGCGAAGCAGGGGGGCAAGGCTTACACCAGCCGCGCACTGTGTGCTTGCCACACGCCATGACATATTCGCTCTTCTGGTTTTTACCAGGAACCACTTCAAACTTGATGGATGTGTCACCCATTCCATGGTTTCTTTAAGAAAAAACAGAGACAACAGGTGACATCAGCGGCAAAGGGAGGAAAGAACTTCAGGAAAGCCCTTGAAAGGCTCTTTGATGAAGACCATGCCAGCCCTTTCCCCAAACCGCTTCTCAGCGGAGGACAGTCTTCATGCCAGATCTGATCTCATGGACTCTGACTGACCGCCAGGCACAAAGGGCCTCTGTGCACGCACTGAACACCTGTCAGCCCAGTCTTTCACAGCACCTCTTAAGCCAGGATAAATGGCTAATAAAGACACTGGGCACTAAAAGAGAAGCCCCCATGACCCCTCTCAGGAGGGGAAGCACCCGCCCTACCTTTTAAGGCACTCGTGGAGGATCTGATAGGGAGACAACAGTCCGGCCTTGCTGGTCAGCTCGTAGACCCGTGAGTCCTCAATACTGATGTGGTTAAAATACTACAAAACAAGGAAGCCACTCCTAAGTGCTGGACCAAGCCTGCCGGACGCGCAGGGCTGCTCCCCATGCTGTCTGCTTTCCCCAGAAGTTCCCTGTCCTCTTTACTGCCTCAAGGAGCAAATCATAGCCCCACCTCACTGTCTAGTTGCCCCCTGGGACAGGACGAGCAGTGCTGTACTAGGTTGGGGAGAACATGCTGCAACAGAGCCTGGTGCTGCCTGGGAGCCTTTTCTGAATCTAAGTGTGATCAGACACTTAGAAATCTAAAGACAGACAACCTTAGGAAAAAAATGTGGAGAACTTCGTGAGATTATAGAAGAGAGACACTAAGTCAGACAAAAGCAGTGTATTCTAAAAAAGGGCAAGCCTCCTGAAAGCTACAAAAGGCCTGGCTGGCTCCCATTTCAAACAAAGTCATCCATCCTGGCTCTGAAACCAATCACTAGTGAGACACCACCTAACCCATATGTTAGGAGAAAAAAGGGAGGTTCTGTACAACAGAGGCAGGAGGCAGCCAGGAAGTGGCTGTGACCCCAACAAGGCTTGGGCCTCTGCTGGGCCACCCCAGTGAAGGGAGGCCATGGCCTACCCTCTCAGCATAGCCCACCTCCCTGTTGGGGACTGCTGGGCTTCGGGGCTGCTGTAACAAGGTACCACAAAGTGGGTGGCTTATTTTCTCACAATTCTGGAGGCCAAAAGTCCAAAACAAGTCAGCAGGCCACATTCCCTCTGAAAACTCTCAAGGAGATCCTTCCTTGGCTTTCCTGGGTACTGACAGCCCCACACTTTCCTTGGCTTATGGCAGCACCGCTCCCATCTCCGCATGGCCCTTTCTCTACCTCCCTCCCTCTTCTTGTAAGAACGTAACACTGCTCCTCTGGGCAGGGAGGCAGGGGTTCCTCTCCCTCCACCAGCAGACTCAGTTCGACAGAGTCGAAAAAAGCAAGGCACTATTTCTGAAGAGAACTCCTGATTCTGATGAGCTAAAAATCTCCCTGCTCCCATTTGGCTATTGTCTTCCAACAGGTCCCCACAAGATACCTCCACTTACAAGTGTCCATCAGTGGGGATCAGTTTCCAGGGAAAGTTATTCACCAAGACATCAAGCCCAGGCCCCATCCTCAGTGGCTGGCCAGGTAGCCAAACCATCAGCGGTGGCTGGTGCTCTCACTCAGCCTACAAGGACCAGTCTCTAACCAGCAGCCAGCACCTGGACTATGGGCCAGGCTGATCAGGTAGAAAACAACTGTGTACTCAGGATCCTCCCTGAGAGAGCCAAGGCACACACACACAGCTGGAGAACACCCACTCAGAAGCCCAAAGACACCCAAGAGCCACTGGCAAAGGCCCACGCCACAATTACCCGTACCAGCTGCCATAGTCACATGTGGCTGATGTAACCAGCCTGAACCATCAGACACTGATATGTCCTGCGAGGGACATATAGGAAATGCAGCACAAAGGGCAAAAGTGACCCACTGACAACGGTATGGAAGAAGCCTTGCATAGAAACCTATGCTCAACAGACACTGAAGAACCATGAGGGAGCACCACGGACAGCCCAGCACCCATAAATTCAACAATTCAGAGAAAATGGACTAATTCCTTGAAAAATGCAAACTACCCAAATTGCCCTTTTCAAGAAGCTGAATTCGTAGTTCTAACTTTCCTGCAGAGAAAACTCCACATGCAGATGGCTTCACTGGTGACAACTGCCAAACATGTAAGGGGCGGGGGACACACCAATTCTAGACGACCTTCCAAAAAAACCTTAAGAGGAGGAACAATCGCCAATTCATTTTATGATGTTAGTAGTACCCTGTTATTAATACCTGACAAAGAGAATCTGATATCCCTCATGAACACACGTGTAAAAATCCTAAACAGAGCATTAGCAATTCCCAACCAGTAACAAATATAAACAAATATATGCCATGCCCAAGGAGGACTTATCCCAGGAATGCAGTTTTTAAATAAATCAACCAAATTCACTCTATCAACATATTAAAGAGGAAAAGGCCTATCATATCAACAGCTGCAGAAAGGGCCACCTGACAAACTGCCAACATCCTTTCATGATAATAACACTCAACAAACCCAGAATAGAAGAACCTGTCCTGAACGAGATAGAGGGCACCAACAAAAAACTGACACCTAACATCACAATCTGTGTCAGAGGCTGGATCACTCCCGCCTAAGATCGGACGGAAATAAGACTAGCATGGCCACTCTCCCCACTGCTACTCACCATGTAATGGAGCTTCTAGCCAGAGCAGCAAACCAAAAAAAAGAAACAAAAGGCACCCAGATTGGAAAGGAAGAAATTCAACCAACTTTAATCACAGTCAGCCTACTCTGTACACAGAATTCCAAAGAAATCTACAGAAAAAGTACTAGAATAATACAATTAGTGAAGATGCAAGATACACAGTCAACATACAGACAGTAAATTCCATCTCTCTACAGTAGCAATCCAGAGTCAGGACTGAAACCAAAGTGCTACGCACAACAGTTCCCAAACACCTATGAAACACTTCTGTCTAAATCCAAGAAAATGAAAGCAGGATCTGAACACTGGAGATGACCAAGCAACAATAAAATGACATGGAAGAAAACCTCAATAAATGGGGAGACACACCGGGCTTGTGAGCCGAAAAACACCATACTGTTAAGAAATACGTTCTCCCCAAATTTATCTACAGATGTAACACAATTCCAATCACAATCTCAACAGAACTTTCCATACTGACATACTACTTCTATATGTAAGGGCAAAGGAGCATGATATGGAAGTACTTTTGAAAAAGAACAAAGTCAGAGGGTTCACAATCTGATTCCAAGAATTCACGTCACTGGGGCGCCTAGGTGGCACAGTCAGTTACGCATCTGACTCTTGGTCTCAGCTCAGGTGGGGATCTCAAGGTCGTGAAACTGAGCCCTGCACTGGGCTCCCCACTCAGTGAGAAATCTGCTTGGGATACTATACCCTCTGCCCTGCCCCACTCACTCTCTCTCAAATAATCAATCTTTAAAAAAAAAAAAAGAATTCATCTCATTAAGAAGGTGTGGAATTGAAGGGACAGACACACAGACCAAAGAGATAGAACCAAATGTAGAGACAGACCCACACACACATACATGCTGCTCCCACAGATGTGCAAAGGCATCCAGTTGAAAACACATCTACCGTACTGCCCAGCAAGGCCATCTTGGGTGTTTACTAAACTACGCTCACAGGGAACCCTGGACAGCCGCGTAGCAACTAAGTGCTAAACACCCAAAACTGGAAATGTGTTCAACGCCCCTCAATCAAGAAGGAAAAACACACCCAGCACTGCCCTATAGTGGGCAGTCAGCAGCAAAAACAACCCAACCATCGACAGGCACCAACAGAGATGAATCCTACATGCATCACTGAGCTGGAGCCTGGTTCTCAGGCTACCTACCCTGGGACTCCACTGATAAGACATTTGGGAATTGGCTAACCTAGGAAGAGAGCTCAATGCCTAGCAGGGTGAAAAGAGAGAATTCTGACTACAAAAGGACAGTTCAAGAGAATTGGGAGGGGGAGAAGATTTGAAAATGTTCTGTCTTGATTGTGCTGTGGGTTACGTGACAAAACGACAGGCATGGCTCAAAACTCACAAATGTCTACCCAAAAGTGCATTTAACTCTCTATAAATTAAGAAGTAAATTGGGGGGGGGCAAAAAGGCAAAAACAACAGGTCACTAATACCTAAATTCTAGAACAACCATGAACCAACCAGAACCCACAGCTATCTAAAAAGCAGTAATATACGGAGAAAAAAAAAATCACTACAGGTCTTATGAGTGGGTAACGGTGCCAGTTCTGGTCCTGTGTTTCCGCCTTTTTTTTTTTTTTTTTAAGATTTTACTTATTTATTTGACAGAGAGAGACACAGCAAGACAGGGAACACAAGCAGAGCGAGAGGGAGAAGCAGGCTCTCCATGTAGAAGGGAGCCCGATGCGGAGCTCGATCACAGGATCCTGAGATCATGACCAGAGCCAAAGGCAGAAGCTTAAAGACTGAGCCACCCAGGCACTCTGTCTCAGCTTTTTTTTTTTCTTTTTCTTTTTTTTTTTTTAAACATATTTATTTGACTGAGTTCACAATTAGACAGAGAGGCAGGCAGAGAGAGAGAGAGAGAGGGAAGCAGGCTCCCTGCTGAGCAGAGAGCCCGATGTGGGACTCGATCCCAGGACCCTGAGATCACGACCTGAGCCGAAGGCAGTGGCTTAGCCCACTGAGCCACCCAGGCACCCGTTTTTGCCTTTTTAATCAACACCAAGCACGTCCTGCCCACACGGCAGCTCTCACACTCTGGATGTTCTATATATCCACGCCACCATTGTGTGTTAACTTCGTGCCACTGCACCTCAAGGACAGGAGGACACAGCGAGAGCTCCCAAAGAACCAGGACCCCCCAGCCCACCTTGGCATCCTACCGTCCCCTCGCCCCCTGGAGTCCACATAAGAAGGGAATGCTGCCCCCACAGCCCCAGCTCTGGCACCAAACCTCCACAGAAGCATCATGGGAAAGAGGGGCCACTACCTACCAAGCTACTCACAAGGACATGACAGAAACACTGTCACAGTTTTTTAGGAGCAAGACAGCAAAATCAGTCAGGATTGAGCTGCTCTAACATATCCAACCTGACAGAAAAGCTACTTTCTTCTCTGACAAATTTTAAAACAAGGGAAAAATACAAATGTGTATGTGTGCACACATATACAACTAAATTCTAAGTGTGAAAAAACTTCTCCAGAGAATGAGGACAATTTTGGTCACTGGACACAATATTTGGATCCTTGTAGCCAGTTCCTGGCATGGAGCTCCTAAAACTCTCAGAATTTCCTCAGTGATAGGTGTATCTTTTGTTCAAATGAGCCCCTCTGGCCCTCACCTGAGTTTATGCTAATGAGGAGACTAGGGGGGGCTAGGTGGGGACCCTAGATAGTTTCATGATGGGAACTTC